ACATGACCCAGCTGTGTTTTGCAAAATGAAATTTTGGTCCCACACCGATGCCAGTGCCGAGGGTGGCGGAGCAGCAGTGATGACAGATGTGTCACGTCGTGCCTGTTTGCTTTAGGGAGGAGAGAGAAACGCCACCAAGGCTGATTGAAAGCTCTGCTCACATCAGGCCCATGTGAGGAGCAGTCCTCGGAGTTTCCAGCATTTTTAGCAAGGCACTGAGGTTCCTGGCAGGCCACATGCATTGAGTGGGCCAGAAATAATCTGTTTCAATGTCCTTGAATACTGATTTCTGAAGGACTCGCTGTGGCTGGCAGCAGGACTGTAAAATCAGAGGTAGAATGTGGAATTCAAGGTGTCCCCAGCTAATTGTTCACATGATGGACAACAATGGCCCCTAAAAACAGCTGCAAAGGGTCCTCAGTCTGCTCTGACACAACTTGAGGGGAAGCCTTTGTTTGCTCTGTTTTCCTGTTCTGTGTGGTTTTTGTTCCACCAAACTGAAGAGGTACATTCTGTGCAGATGCTGCTGGGGTGATTCCCACGGGAGGTCCTTCTTTTTGCTGGTTCATCCCACCTTTACCTGGCCAGGGGGTCTGGGGCTGGCTGAGCAGCAGCACCCAGCAGCTGCTGCCCAGTGCTCGTGGGGATTTCAGGGATTTCATGCTGCTTTAGCAGTGCCTGTGTTTGACTGACTGGGGAAGGGCTGCACAGCCTTCAGCTCCCTTTGCAAGAGCAGGTTTTGGCCTTTTCCTCCCCAAGATGCAGCTGGAAGGGGTGGGACAGGCTTTTCTCCTCCCTCAGCCCAGGCTGGGAGCTCGGGGTCCCACCTGCCCCCTGCAGGGTTTTTGCAGAGGGATTGCAGGATCCCCCCTGTGTGTGGGGAGAAAATTCCCTGCCCTGGGAGGCAGCTGCTGCCCTGGCAGTGTGCATTGCCACCAGCCATTCTTCATTTTCTGTGCTCATCTGCAGTTCTTTTAGGGCCCAATTGGCTGAGCACAACCTGAGCAGGATAATTTAATATTATTAGTATTATTAATATCACTGCTGCAATCTAATTAGGGCCTAAATGAGCTGGGTACTGAATTTCCCTCAGTATTTTGTATTTCTTTCATCCTCCTCCCCTGCCCTGTGTTGTTCTGCCTTGCACATGAGATGTGATGAGGAAATCACTGCCCATTGATGCTGAGGCTTCAGGAGGGGAAAACCAGCACCAAATAATGGGACTGGAAAATGCTGGTCCTTGAACCAGCTGGGGAATTAGGAGGATAAATAAATGCCAGCATTTCTGGGCTGGCAGGCACTCCAAGAGGAATGCTCTCCAAATGACACACACGAGCTTGCTTCCCTCTCCCCACTGCCCTTTCCAGACTGGGAGCTGTGTGTTGGCTTTGGCAGAAGCAGAACTTTTCCATAATCACAAATAACAGAGAAAATAAGAAGTTATTGGCTCATAAGAGATAAGCAAAGATAAAGGACTAATCCTTTCCTCAAACCTTAGGTAAGGTCAACTCATGGCTGTGCCATGAAAGACTCTGAAAAGGAGTTTTCAGGAGAAAAATGAGAATTCCTGGATCTGCTTCTGGATGGGCCATTGTCATCCAGGCTTGTTCTCCAGGGCTTGGGCTCCCCAGCTGTGGGGCACTGGGAGCACTTAGGGACTCGAGTCTGACTGCAGCTGCTGAGCTGCTCTGTGCCCTGCCTGGGGCTGTCCTGTCACCCTGCACAGAAAAATCCCTGCTGGGGCTGCCCTGGATCCCTGGCAGTGCCAAGGCCAGGCTGGACACTGGGGCTGGGACACCCTGGCACAGTGGGAGGTGTCCCTGCCATGGCAGGGGTGGCACTGGGTGGGCTTTGATGTCCAGACCAGTTTGGGATTCTGTGGTGATTCAGATTTTCCCTCATTCTAAGCCACTTTAGGATAAAAAGTTGCCTTGGATTAGCTCTGCTTTCAGAAGATAGTTTTGCCCTAACCAATCAATTTAAAGAGACAAGGACTGTGTGTTATAAATGCACATTTGGAGACACATGCTCTATTTTAATTAAAAAAAATATTATGCAGGGGCTGCAGGATGGATACTGAAGATGCATGGCCCACCCCCTTCCATTAGTGAGAAGACAACACAAAGCTGTAGGCAGATATAAAAGCATTAAAATAATTAATTTTCCATTTTATTGTGTGTCAACAGAAATGTATAATAATAAGCATTTTTGCAAAAACTGTGGATTAAGCATTTTTCTCTACATCAGTGGTGTGCTGGAAATGTCCTTGCTTTAATGTAGAACAAATGGCCCTTGGATCTCATTAAAGGTGGTGCTCTGAGTTCTCAGAGAACTCTCAGTGCTGCTGGGGCAGAGCAGTAGGCTGCTAAAAAAAAGGTGACAAATAACAAAAGACAAAGGAAGAGTAGAAATGAAAGGGAAGTAAAGGAGAGTTAAGAATTGTACTTGTGGGAGCACCAAAGAGCAGGTGGGAGAGAGCTCTGCCTCCTCCTGGGGTGACAGAGCAGGGCTGAGGGCAGCTCTGGGAGGAGCAGGGAGCACCCAGGGGCTGGGCTGGGACCGTGGTGGGGACCCCAGGGAGGGGATGGGATGATGGGATGGGATAATGGGATGATGGGATGGGATGGGATGGAGCAGTGTCAGTTCCCACAGCAGGCACAGGGACATGGCCCTTCCCAGAGCTCACGTGCTGCTGCTGCAGGAACAATCCTTCTGTTTCGAGGGGAGCTTTGGAGGCTCTGGGAATTCTGTGTTATCCTGCAGAGGTGTTAAGCCTGCCCTGCTCAGTGCAGGATTTGTTTGGCACAAGCCAGAACTGGTGGGGTTTTGCCCCCACCCCTTGCAGGCTCAGTGCTGGGCAAGGCTTCCCCAGCACTCCCTGCAGGCAGGGAAATGAAAAGGAGCTCCAGTGTGAGTGCAGCACCAGTCTGGGCCAGGCATGGAGCAGCTCTGCAGCCTCCCTGGCACTCTGGCTTATCATCACTGTTATCTCTTGAAGGGATTTCAGTTGATATTTTGCAGAAGACTCTGCTGAGGATGTGTTATTGACATATTCTTAGCTTAAAACCATTATCATGGCAAATCCCTGGATTTAGAAACTAATTACAAGACATTAATAGCTGAGCCTGAAGAGCTAAGTCATGCAAATATTGCTGTCTGCGAAGTGGAATATACACAAATATAGTCTGAAGTGCTGAGTTAGGAGCTGCAGTCTGGAGGTGGCAATAAATCTGAGCCCAGTCCTCGCCGCTGGGTTCTGTGTGTCCGTGAAATTAATGGCACCATCATTATGAAAGTGGGATCAGGAACGTGGCTATTTTCTTCCCTGAGTAGGTTAATTACCACTAATGTAATTATTTTTGTACTGATTTTTATTTTAATCAAACATTGCACGAAACAATTAAGTTCAGAACAAATGGCTTATTATGGAAATGTTTGTGGCAGAGGGAGGCAAAGCAACAATGTTTGAATTATCCACAGATATTGAGTTACTTTATTCATTAAAATGAACAATTACATTAGGCCTTATGAGACAGACTAAGCATTTCTTGTTAATGTTTGTTCCATAGTGAACATAATGAGAATATATATTGTGAGTGGATCCAGTCCCTCTTCTGGAGGCATTCGGGATGGGGGATGTGTGGGAGCAGGAGAACATCCCCCCCAGAGCTGCCAGGGCTGCAGGCAGGGGCTCCTGGTGTCCCTGGGCACAGAGCTGCCAAGGGTGCAGCTCAGGCTGTGACACTGTTGGCTCGCTCTGGGTGCAATGTCTGGCTGCCTCTGGCAGTGCTCGTGGGCTGGGAAGAATAAATTCCCTTACCCTGGACTGAAATTCAAGGTTCTACATTAAAACCCCCGGGTTTTCTGTTAGTTGCAAGAGCACTGACCTAAGGAAAAACAGCTGCAATGTTGTTTTTAATGACACTCACTCACATCTATCCAGGGGATCAGGTTTGATGTTTGGAAAGGACACACACACACACAGAGCAGCTGCTGGAGCCACTGAGGTGCTGCTGGGCTGGTAACTGGTGCTGGCAATGCCAGGGCCTTCCCAGGCTTCCAGTCTGGACTGTTTCACTGGGGCTCCAATGCCAAACCTTCCTTGCTCTTGGAAGCTGGTCAGTGGCTTTAGTCAGGCAGAGCTGGAAATGATTTGTGAGCCCCGTTTTCCACAGTACTTGGGAGCCTTTGTTGCCTGCCTTGGAGTTCAGGATTCTCCAGACTGCAGAGTAAGTGAGACTTTCCATGTATTTAATGTAATCATTTATCATTTGCATTCCCAGAAGCACATGTGGCATTTCAAAAGCTGAATGTGACTTTGAAATGAAATATTATCTAATTATTGCATTTTTCAGTGATGACCATTTTCTTTGTCCTTCATATTTCTCACCTGGCTCATATAGCAGACCTTCCCCCGTTCTCACTGATCCCATGCCCTACAGAAAACATTCCCCCCTCATTTCAAATCTTCCTTGGTCAGTAGCACTTCCAGGAAAGGAGATCTCTGCTCTGTCTCGGTAAGAAGCCCCAAGGTTTGTGGGAAGCAGCCTTGCAAGTGTAAGTCCTGCCTTCCCTCGAGGTTTGCAGTGTTGTTACTGATCTCATGAAAGAACAGCTTTTCACTCCCGTGGTTTATCTGGGCTTGGATGTCATTCCACCAGACTTAACGAGAAATGGTAATGAGAAATGGAGGCAGTGAGCACAGCTAGGGGCCAGAGCCCCACACAGAGGCACCGGGGTGTGGTTCCAGGACTCTGCCCATGGGAAGTTGATCCACTTGGGGTTTGTGTTTTGGGGCTCCCCTGAGCCCCCTCCCTTCATTCCCAGCTCACGTCTGTGGCTGCCAGCCCTAACCCCCAGCCTGTTGTGTCCCTGTCCCACAGACTGAGGAGATGCAGTGGGGCAGGGACGTGTGTTCTGTGCCCCCTCGGTGTGCAGCCAGCCCTAAGCCAGGCCTAAGCCAGGCCTAACCCCGAGCCTGTTTGTGTCCTGTCCCACAGATCGAGGAGATGCAGTGGGGAGGGGGGGTGCGTGCCGTGCCCCCCTCGGTGTGCAGCCAGCCGTGCCGGCCGGGCGAGAGGAAGAAGATGGTGAAGGGCATGCCGTGCTGCTGGCACTGCGAGCTGTGTGACGGCTACCAGTACCAGGCCGACGAGGTCACCTGCCTGCTGTGCTCCTACAACGAGCGGCCCAACGAGAACCGCACCGGCTGCCGCTCCATCCCCATCATCAAGCTGGAGTGGCACTCGCCCTGGGCCGTCATTCCCGTCTTCCTGGCCATGCTGGGCATCATCGCCACCATCTTCGTCATGGCCACCTTCATCCGCTACAACGACACGCCGATCGTGCGGGCCTCGGGCCGGGAGCTCAGCTACGTGCTGCTGACCGGCATCTTCCTGTGCTACATCATCACCTTCCTGATGATCGCCAAGCCCGACGTGGCCGTCTGCTCCTTCCGCAGGATCTTCCTGGGGCTGGGCATGTGCATCAGCTACGCGGCGCTGCTGACCAAGACCAACCGCATCTACCGCATCTTCGAGCAGGGCAAGAAGTCGGTGACGGCGCCGCGGCTGATCAGCCCCACCTCGCAGCTGGCCATCACCTCCAGCTTGATATCGGTGCAGCTGCTGGGGGTCTTCATTTGGTTTGCAGTTGACCCGCCCAACATCATCATAGATTATGATGAGCAGAAAACTATGAACCCCGACCAGGCCAGAGGAGTTCTCAAGTGTGACATTACGGATCTACAAATCATTTGTTCCTTGGGTTATAGCATTCTGCTCATGGTGACGTGCACTGTGTATGCCATCAAGACTCGGGGGGTCCCAGAGAATTTTAATGAAGCCAAACCCATTGGATTCACTATGTACACTACCTGTATAGTATGGCTTGCCTTCATTCCAATATTTTTTGGCACTGCCCAGTCAGCCGAAAAGGTAGGTGAGAGTGCACCCAGGATTCACTGTGGTTGTAGCCACGTGCTGGTGGTCAGCTGTCCGTGGATTTCCAGCTGAGCTCTCCAGTCAGCTCATTCCTCACTCACGGGCAATCTGTGGCACTGTTTGCCTTCCCCGTTTAGCTCGTGGGCCATCCATTTTAAAAACCGGCAAATGATCAATAGCAATCACGTTAGCCATTAGTTTTATTGTTGCATCTATTTCAATTGTTTCTTTACAGTAGGATAAGTGGGAATTAGCTGTCATATTACCCACAAAGAGGCATCTCCTAACTAAATCATTTTGAATACAAGATGTAAGCAAGAGAACTGTCAAAAAAATACTCAGGTGGGCCCCTGTGCCTCTGGACCTGAGCCCTGAGGGCAGTGTGGAGTCTGATGAGTGCTGTGCTCACAGAACAGCCCCAGGACACGTTTACACCACGGTGTAAAGGGCCTGTCCTGAGCTCCCGTGGCTGAGCCCAGTGGCTCCAGCTGATGCTCCACGATGCAGATTCACTTTCACTTCTCCCTGGAGAAAAGCTGTCCTTTCAGAGGGATTTGGCAAACACCCCCAAGCCCAGTATTTAGAGGGCAGTGGCGATACTGGGCTGTCCTGACCTGCTGTCAGTCTGGTTTACCCCTCCACCCCAGCCCAGCCTGGAAGAAGCTGCTGCCACAGCCTTACCTGTGGTGTGCCCTGGATCCAGGCATCCTCACCTGCCTCAAATGCTCCCAGCCCCTGCATGGATGTGGCAGCACATCCATCTGTTGTCCCCAGAGCCTGACCCCGCACTTCTCGTGGGACCTTTGGCTTCGTGGTCCTTTTTCCTCCTCTGTTTCCAATTCTGCGTTTGTTCTGGAGCACAGCACTGGGGCAGGCCCAGGGCTGTGGATGGCTTACTGTGTTTGTAAGGGGTGAGCAGATTTCAGAGCCCAGCTGGAGCTGTCCCTTCCAGGAGGCACAGGTCACCTCCAGCTGTGGAGGTGCAGCTGCAGGAGCACACCCGGGCCTTGGGACAGCTCCTGCTGAGGCTCCAGGGCTCTCCCCTGCTCAGGGGCTGCTCAGAGCTTCGTTCTCTCCAGCTCAGGAGGCTGCAGGGATTTGCAGGTGTTTGGCCTGAGCTTTGGCCTCAGGGGAGGAGGGGATCACCCAGGAGGGAGTTTGATGAGAGGGGATCACTCAGGATCAGAGGCAGGAACAGAGTTTATGGAGAGGTTCCCACAGATCCTCTCACCTCTGCACCGGGCTGTCCAGAGCCACTGCATCCCAGAGGGAATTCATTTCAGCCGGAAAGGAGACCTGCCAAGGCTCACAAACACTTCAAACGCCTCTGCTCTCCCTGTTGAGGTGAGATAAGGAGAGCAGCAGCTGGGAGTGCAGCGGGGTCTGTTTGTACCTGCTCTGACACCGGGAGGGCTGAGCAGCTCCTGCCTGGCGGTGGGGCTGCAGGGGACGGAGGTGAAGTGCTTGGAGTCATTGTCTGCAGAGATTTATTAAAGCACAAAAGGTCCAAAGGCTCTGCCAGCACTCAGGGCTGTGCAGCAGCAGAAGCCTGAGGTTTCCACGTGCTCCTGGGGCTGAGCTAAACCTGGGCTCTGGGAGCCTGGGTCCTCATATAGCCTGTGCAGGACAGCAGAAGGGAGGATAATGATGATGATGATGATGATGATGATGATGATGATGAGCTTGATCTCACCCAGAGCACAGAGGGTGGGACAGGGCAGGGCAAGCAGCCCTCGGTGTGCTGTGCTCCATCCTGGGGACATTGGGGATGTTGGGGACGTTGGGGACAGAGACAGCAGGGGCTGCTCTCTGCTGCTGAGGCTCATCCCCATTCCTTGGGCTGGAAGCTGCTGGAAGCTCCAGCAAAGCCCCCAGTGGGACCCCTGTGCAGGGGCTGTGTGTGGAGGGCCCCAGGTGCTGTCCCTGTGTCCCTGTCCCTGTGTCCCTGTGCTCCTCCTGGGGCTTTCCCCCTCTGCCCTGTCCTGTCCAGAGCTGTGCTGCAGGAGCTTTGCTGCTTTTCCTCCTTTCCTGGCACTCCTTTTGGGTGGGGGTGCAGGGACTGTGCTTTTTGGTGCTTGCCGCTGATTTCCAGTCAGATATTTCCTCTGGAAAATATTGTGCCTTAGCTTAGCCACACACGTCTGTGCTGAAATGGAAATTGCACCTGCTGAAAAATCTCATGCAGCACGATCTCTAAAACTGAGGAATGGGGTTATATATAACACTGGGGGTTTCAGTGGATGGATTTATTTTATTTTATCGATAAACACAAGCATAATGTTCTTTGGTGGAAGGCATATTGTAAACACCTGCCTTGTTCAGGGTACGGAATAACACCTCCAACAAAAAAACCACCAAACCCCTAGCAATGTGCTGCAGGTAATTCATAAAAGGTGAATAATTCAAGCAGGAGCTGTTGCAGCAGGTGGAGGGAGGAGGGGCGGTGTGAGGAAGGCCAGAAATCCGAGTTTCTCCAGGATGGAGATGAGCCATGAGGAGCAGGGGAGGTGACACGTGGCAAAAGCAGATTTCAGACCTTTTAGCAGCTTGAGGTCACCCAACTGTTTGTTTGTCCACATCAGGAACGGAGAGAACGCGTGGCTGGTTGCGCATAGGGCTCAGCTGTGATTTATGGCCTTTGTTGGGATGCAGCACGTGGATCCCAGGGATGTGCTCATCCTTCCCCTGGGGTTCCATGGCTGGCACTCAGAGCTCCTGCTCCCTGCCTGCCTCTGTGCAGCTCTGGGGGCTGTGTTCTCCTGTAGCCTGAAATGCTGGGACAGCTTGGAGGAGCAGGACAGCCCTGGGGCAGTCCCTGCTCAGAAAGGTCCTTCCAAGGTCCTTCATTCAGTGTGTGCTTCATGGAAAGGCACTGTGCCTTTCAGCTGAAGGAGGGGACATTTAGACTGCATATCTGGAAGGAATCCACCCTGTGAGGGTGGGGAGGCCCAGGGTGCCCAGAGAAGCTGAATATTCCCCCCAAATCTCATTTTCTCAGACTGTGTCATTGGGCTGATGGAGACAGAGGTGTCATTGTTATGTTTTCACGTTTCATAGAGGTTCTGCTGCCTCAGAGCTCTGATTGCTTTTATTTAGTAATTGTGCTAAGATTAAACAAACACACTGCTGGATGTGTTTGCCAGCCAGTGAGAGCTGTCAGTGTGCTCCTGAAATACCTCCTGCCAGGGGGATTCTTCTCCTGAACGATCTTCAGGGCTTTTTTCAAGTTAAAAAGCTCTAATTGTGCCTTTGAGTGAGGGGTGACTATTGTTCAGCCAGTGTGGTTGTCCTGCTTGGGAGATTTATTGCAGTGATGAGAAACAGGGAAAAGTTGAAATAGGGAAAAGAGCTGTCACCTTCCATCAGCTTATTTTAGCATAACTTTCAGTTGTAAACTGTTGGGGTTTTTTTGGGGGGCGGGTTGTAGGTTTTGTAATGAAATTTGGAGTCCCTAATCCCATCAGCTCTTCCACCTTCCTTCTTGTTTCTCTATTTTTTTATTTGTATTTTGTGCCCTTTTTATTCAAATCAATGAGCAGGGCAAGTCAGGCATATTTGGCAGCAACACTTTTCCTTATTGTGTTGAGTGTTCCATAAATACTGTAATTTGAAGGCACATGCAAAATGGGTCCTTGTTCAGATTAAATAATGTCACATTAGCACAGGAGCACTTCAGTCTCTGTTCTATTTTTTGGTGGAACTAAGTTACCCTTCAATTCTCTGTAACACAAATACCAATTAGCCAGGTAGGACACACTTTTATTTTCTCCCTTGGGAAGGCTTGGGCTGATAGTTGCTATAGCAACTCTACATATGTGGATTTGGGAGTTATGAGGAATTTAATGCAACATTTGTTGGAGTTTCACACCGTGGGATTGTGGAGGAAACCAGGCTTTGAGGCTCCCAGGGAATGTGCCTGGGTCTGCCATGGTTTGGGGCTCTCACAGGGACACTGTGGATTACAGCTTTTGTTCCAATTATTTTATCATTTTTGTTTAAAGGAGGATTCTGATAGCAGGAATTTCTCATTGATGCACTTTCACTTCACCCACCACTTCATTATCTGCATGTTCAGATGCTGAAGTTCTTCATTTCACCCAGCCTGGACTGTATCCCTGAGAACACCCTGGAATTCAGGGATCTGGCATGACAATTGTCCTGAGTCAAGGCTGAACTGAGGAGCAGCTTCACCTCATTGCACTCCGACCTCCAGGCTGAGGAGAGGAGAGGTCTGGAGAGCCTCAAAGCACAGGGTATTCCAGAAATTCCATTTTTGTGGAGTACTGGAGTTCCACATTTTAACTGAGGAGAAATTAGGTGGTCTCTGAAATCCAGAAGTGAAATACTCAGTGGAATTTTTGGAAGGCTGATGACCTTCACTACAAAAGTGATCCTGGCCTAGGTTTTTATCAGCTTATATAACAACACTGCTGAAGAGTGTATAAAAACCCTTGTGAAAACCTTTGAGTGTCTGTAGGGTTTCAATTCTAATTTCTGTAGGACTGAACAAAAATTTTAAGCACAGCTCCTGGGTAAAGTTCTCTGTGAGATTTCCTTCATTGCCTCCTGCATTCATTGTCCTCCCCAACGGGAAGGGAGGCTGTGACCAGTCAGAGCCCAGCCAGATTAAAATCTTTTTAAGGTGCCCCTGCCAATGGTTTAACCCCAAGCAGGAGCTCAGGATTTCCATCTGTGCTGTTGAAGTGCTGCAGGAATCCCAGGTCCTGGAGCTGTTATCTCTGTTTTCCTGATTTCCTCTCCCTGGTGCTCTGGAGGGAGCTCTGTTCCCTGGACAGACACTCACAGACCCAGCACCCCCTGGCTAGGGCTGGGTTATGGCCTCTGAGGCTCCTGGGGGAGAGAACACCCCAGGAAATACAGAATATTCCTGGCTGGGCTGGTTCCCAGTGCTCACCAGGAGCTCTGCCACAGCTCCCTCTGCCACCAGGGCTGCAAAAGAGAAAGAAAAATGGCAAACTTGGTGCCTGAACTTG